ATGAATAACCAAAGACTTACATGATTTACCAACACATTTTGGTCTTTGGCCCAACTGCCACCTCTTCACTGCAGGAGCTGCAGCTTCTCATCCCACGTCTTTTGCAACAAGACTCTTAGCCCTTGGCAGAGAAAGGACAAGCGCAGTGACTAAATAAAGGTATGCTCCAGCTTGCTGCCCGGGCTGCCTTCTGCTGATAAGCACACACACAGATTTCTGCTCTTTTTGCTCATACAGTTGGGACAAGAAAGAAGGTATCTTCTTTGTCCAAATGCAAATTTTTACAGGACTTTTAGGATCTTGCTTATCATTGAGAATTCCATCTCTGGACTAAATTTACTTAACCCTTCAGAACTTGCTCAAAAGGCACCTGATGAAGCGTGAGACAGAGTGACGTCACGCTTCCCAAGGAAGCTAGGCTAAATCCAACCAGCAGAAATCTCCAGGATGTTTTTTCCTTCACATTAGTACTTTCCTGAGGGTCTACAGTGAGATGTTACAAACTCACTTAGGAGAAACCCTGTGGTGTTTGCAGTTACTTATCAGTAAGCCCCAAAAGCCCCCAAACCTTCAACCTACCAGCTGATGCAGAACTCACCGCAGTGTCAGCTGTCCCAATACTCAGTGAGGATTTGGGGCCTCTACCCACCCCCCCCAGCACTCTGGCTGAGTACTGACACTCTGCATCGACCAACTGCAAGTGCATTACCACTTGACCTTTTCAGCGTATCATCTCCCCCTCCTCCTTTGCAGGCAAAACAAAGATCATAGCAACAGAAACAGTCTCTCCAACCATAAAACCTTCTGCAGCCTGAGAAACCCACAGAATCCTAGCTAGCACTGCATTTTCACCATCCAAACAGGTATCTCATGCAGGTCAGCAAAAACCAACCTCAAAACGCACCTTCTAAACACAGTAACACATGCACAGCCATCACCGCTTCTGGTAGTCTCTGCCCTTCCATGACCTCTCCTCCCACAGCTGAACTGAGCCTGCCGGCAACAGAGCCCCCCTCCCAATTGCACTCACCTCTACAGGCTCAGAAGGAATTTCCAATTTGGATAGCTTGGCTTTGACATTCACCTTCAAATCTGAGATTTTTTCATAGGATTCATCGTGGTATTCCTCCAGAAGTGGTTTGAGCTCCGGTGAGTCCACTGGTGCCTGATCTTGGCCATCCATTGGTCGGACATAGGCAGTTGGTTTCTGCTGCATTGCATTGGGTTTTGATGGCAAAGAGGGGTGGGAAGTCTGAGAGGAAGGCTGAGTGGTGTTGGTCAGGTTAATGGCTGAGCTGTCCTGGCTTTCCTTCTCCTGTGACCCTGTGACTAGGTCCCGAGATGATTTTGTTTGACTGTAGGTCAGCCCATGACTTTTGCTGCTGTTGTGTGACCTGGAATCAGCATGCTGGCTGGAATGTAGAGGTGACAGTGGAGAAGCCAAAGATGACAGCAATGGAGAAAGCCTCAAAAGGGAGGCTGGCAGTTCATTAGCACAACCTTCACCACCCACACACTGGTCACTTCCCTTGTGGTGAAAACCTGCATGACTTTCCTGGCCACCACGATTGCGTTCTTGCCCTTGGCTCCGATCGCTGGATACACCGTGACTCTTGGTGTGCAAGTCTGAAGCTGGTTCTGCTCTTGATTGTGCCTTTTGGTAGTGAATGGAGTGGCCTGGAGGGGGAGTAGCTATAACTGTAGGTCCCATGGGTGGATGGCAGGTTGTGTGGTGGAATGAAGGTGGCAATGTATGGCTGGCCTTTTGATGGAAGTACGGGTGATAAGGCTTTCCTTGTGGCATCAGAGGAACAACACTTTTTGGAACCCCTATAAGATTCTGATTGGATCCGTTGTTGAAGAACTCCTTGACCTCCTCATATTTGCCCAGCATGTTCTGAATTCGGCTTGACAACTCATCTTCTTTATTAGTCTGCAACAGAAGAGCGAGGGGAAAATTTAAAAAGCATGGCCTCCCCATCCCAACAGATCCAGCTCAAGAAGAGACATTCTTCAGGATCATCTTTTAATCACCGTGCATCACCACATGTGATGTTACACAAGCTCATCTCAATCCTGCGTGCAGTCTCTCCAAAGCAAGTGGGACTGCCCAAGCCAGCATTAGTTCTGAGCCAAGATTGCAGGTGTGCCTGTAGACTTCAGGGACACAGACATCAGACCAGTTTGTTTCAACCACAGCTGCAGACAGGCAGCCATACTGCTCTTCAGCACTTTCCCTCAAACTCCCAGACTACAGGAAGCCCCCAAATCAATCTGCCCAACCTGAAGTCCGTGCTGTGCTTAGACCACCTTCAGAGCTTGAGGCACATAATCTGATGAATTTAGGTCAAGCAGACTGGAAGATGCTGTGTTTGTACGTATCATGCTCGAGTCTATACTGTATGCAGAGGCCACAGCTCTCCTCTACCACCCCCAACCCTCCTTCCTCATCTCCCTCCACCACACACTCCCCTGCCATTACCTTGTAGGGTTCTGCAAAGAGGGGAATCCCCTCAGGTAACTTGTCTTTCTCCTGCAGAGTCTCCTGATTCCGCCTCTCTCTCTCTTGAATACGCAGCAAGTTTCTGTCCTCGTACAAGTTTTAGGAATGAGAGAAAAGAAAAGGTGGTGAACACTTCACACCAGTGTTATCAACAAATATTTACTTTATGCAGCAATGTGGTTTTCAGACAATGGTATATGTCCATCATGAAAACAATTTTGAACTCTACAGGGTGGTTATAGCTGCCAAATCAGTTATGTCAAATATTTTCTGTACTGCATAGTAGTAATGTAATATACAAGGTTTAGCATGCATCCTTCTCCATGCTTCCTAGTCCTGATACCATACATCAAAAAGGATGGGAAGGGAAAAAATATCCATCCATTTAATGTGAAACAAACTGAGGAAGTCGTCAACACGGGTGATAAGCACATGAGCTCGCAAATCCAGCTGCAATGATCAAAGAAAACTGCCATTCTTGTTCTCCCCAGACTTCCGCCCCAACTCTTCACCCGAGAGTAAGCCAGAACCCACTACTTTGAAAGTGCTGTCACTTACCACTGTCCGTAAACAGGCTTGAGAACTTTCTACTTTAAATGGCCATTTGGAAAGCTGCTCACCTGGCAAACCAGGCAGTTGCATTTAAAGCAATCACAGAAATGTATTTAAAGAGAAGGTCTCAGACATTTGGAACACACCAGGTCGAATCCCCTTGTCCCTCCTCAACCACACAGGCATGCCCTCAATTCCACCATCTCCAGATCAAAACAGCAATAAAGCTGTGTCACATGCACAGCAGGATGACTTCATGGAAAACCACATCCTTTAAACTACACCTCCTCTGAGAAATCCTACTGCAAAATAAGGTAATCTATTGCTCTGTTTATGGACATTTTGGAAGAAAAAGCATGCAGACATAGTATGCGGATGCAGGTTTTTCTCTCCTCTCCTCTTTCTACTCCACTCCACAGTCTACCACATACATCCAATTCCTGTATTATTCTTAGGGCACTCAACTTCCCAAAAGTCCCAGTTTGGAAGGGAAGAGCCTTGTCTTCCCCACCAGTGACATTTTCTCAAATACCATACCAATAATCATCTACTGAAAATTTAATCATCCCTGAAGAAGAGGGAGGAGACTGGCTTTGCTCTAACAGTTAACCAAGAGGTCTGACTACTGCCGAGGCAGTTTCCTGACTCAATGTGAGCTCTGGAAAACGACGCTGTCTGATGGCAAATTTCCATATATGGAACAGCAGTAAGGATGTACTAGTGCCACTAAGACAGAAAAACATATTCAGGGATTAGACTCTGCACATTTAAAATAGTTTCCAACTTTGTTAGTGCTGTACTGTTTCCAAACATAGCAAAACAGAAGTTTCCAGTAAGCGCTGTGTACCCCACTTCTGCAAACAATTTTAAAAATTAAGAGGAGAGGAATCACAGGATCACTAATTCAGTAAATATACACAATCCTTGTATTACAAACAACATATAATAGAAGCATTTCCTCTGTGCATCTGGTGTCATTTTGCATGTGAGCTATTTTGTATCTATAATCAGTTAATTGGTCACTTGCCCTGTGTGTGCCAGGAGAGCTTTGTGCAGCCAAATATAGGAGATGCCAGCTGCAGAAATAAAAAATGAGGAGTAATTCTAAGGCCAACCAGAAGCAATCTTGGCTACATCTACTACTTCAAATCGTATGCGTGCAAATGATTTTTTTAACTGAACGCATTTCAAGTAGACAGCAGTTTCTAAACATCTGTTCAACTTATCTGGAAAATTTTTACTGAATGAAACACTATTTTCCAAACATTCCAGGAAGTAAAAATTATTCTGTAAATATCCTTTATATAAACATCAAAAGAACTCCATTAACAGCAAGCATGAAAAAACCCCACAGAAGATGGGTTTTACAGCTAAGACACTGGATTTTAGCATAAAGGAGACCTCCAAAACCTCTTCTTCACCAATCTGTGACTCCATGGCCCAGATCCTTTTTTTGGAGTGATGGGCACGATTTAACCTGGATCAATCAGCTCCTCTTCTCCCACCAGCATCCAGTTCATTTCTCCTGTGGCTGCAGAAGCACTCAAGCACACTCGGTGGGAAAGGCAAAGGCAAAACCACTGCCCTTGGTGGCAGTCCTCGCTTCGTGCCATTTCCCAGCCTCTCTCCTCTGCAGTCGGTACCTTCCCTTAACAAATTATACAACTTTCTTGCAAGGAGCTCTTCTATTGCTATGTGCTCAGACTAATGAAGACTCTTACTGCAACCAGGTGCTCAGCCTCAGCTCCCTCCCACCCACCTTCACTTTTGAAGCTACCACCAAGTACGTTTTTGAGCCTAACAACAGTACTCGGTGCAATGCTCGAAGTACAAACGGGCTATTTTAAGTTAGTTTTAAGTCCTCCTCCTTGAGCATCAGCTGTTTTCACAGTCATGTTTTCCTCTGTTAGTTCTTCAGAGATAATTTTCACCATTCGACAGACAGACGGACACACAGGAAATTAAAAGACACAAAAGGGATCTGCTTTTTACAAGGGTGACAACTGTGCTAAAGAGAGCGAAGGTTCTTCTCCCACTTCATGTCTTTTGATACACATACACATTTTGGTCTGCACAATGCTGCTGACACCTCAGCCCACCCTGTTACTATTTCTGTCTTGAGCACTACCACGAATGCCAAGCACTCAGACCTCCACTAAGCTTTTAAATACAACTGCAACATTACATACACATATTTGTTTTTGTTTATTTTCTCCTTAGTACTTATTAAATTACTCATGGCGTTGGCTGGAGTACACAGATATTGTTGTGCTAGCTTTCCTCAAAATAGATTTTGCTACTGCACTTCACAGATTGTTGCAGCACACTTCAGATCCAGGCCTCCCGGAGACAAGTTGTTGGGCTGGCATAGCTCTCTGCTGAAGCCTAAGGTAAGTAATGAAAGCAGTATGAAGTCCTCACCTTAACAATGCATAAGGACAAAAGCCACAGCCAATCCATCTTTTTTATAAACAGTTCATTTCAAAATGGGACAATCTCATTTTATCTTCCCAGGTAAGAGATTGTTTGCCTCTTGCAGAGGGGACAGAGAAAGGCACAAAAGCCACAAGGTCAAACACAAGTCTCTTGGGGAACACTGTCAAGACCAAAAGAGTAACTTCGCTTCTAACAGACCCATTCCCAACCTCCCTTACCTTTCCAAAACTCTAATGTCACTACTAGAGCATACCACATCACTTTATAATCTGCATTATTATTATTATTTAGTAAGACACATGCAATAGTATTTGACTACTTGAGATCTTTCAAGGTTAAATACTGTAGTAGTGGCCATTCCTATAAAGCCCTGAGGACTTAGCCTCTGTACACTGCTGGAGTCAAGCATCCTATCTGGTAATGACTTTACTACCTCCTGTTCGTCTAGCTTTCAACAGTAGTCTAAAATTTGCTCCCCAGTCAGTTCCTTCACATAAGATTTATTAGCACAGAGATAATGTAGATCAACTTTCTTAAACAAAAAATACACACAATACTTCAGATGGATCCCGTTAACAAGCTGGGTGTCATTTCCACATGCCAGGTGGCTGATGTGGGGATCCACATGTTCACGTGTGGTCTCCCTTTGTATGATAAACCTATACAGAACATGACATATTAACAGGTTTTTTTTCGCCCTATGGTTGCTACATAAAAAGGGCAGGAGCTGTAACCTATTCACATTATTATTCCTGCAGGAAAATACAAACCAGCATGCCACTATCAGCAGTAAACCAAGACTGAAAAGCATTAGTGATGATCCACAGATTTCAGTATAACCAGTGGATATCCCCCTGGCTGGAAGAGCACTAAGAGGTTGTATCACTCCACAGAAACAAAATAGTGGAAATTCTGACCAAGAAGGTTTGTGGCCAAAGCCCACTGAAATCGGCAAAAAAATTCTTATCAGTTTCAACAGACTTGGTGTTGGGCAATGAGAGTGCATTCTTCAGTCATTCAAAACAGGCCTGACCTTGGGCACACATGAGCAAACCTCTGGCAAAACGAAGAGAAGTCATCATTTGGACACTACACCAGCTCACAAGGTTCAGCGTCTGTACCTTGAAAAAACATCACCAAAAAAAACCCAAACAAAACAAACAAAAAGCAAACAAACACCCAAATAAAAATCACCACACAAAACCCCATCACAAAAAAAACCCCAAACAACCCTCAAATAGTAAAAGTTTAAGTTCATAAGCCAAAGCATTAGCATAATATTACTAATATATTTCATCCTCTTTACCACAAACTTTCTTAATAATTAAGACACAACAACATGTATGCGCACACATATGCAAAAGCAAAAATTAACTGGAAAGGAGGCAAGCAGAACACCAGTCTGACATGCTGGAAGAACTGGGGAAAACCTTGTGGGCTATTTTTATTTGTTCTCCCAGGATAAAATCTGCTGTCAGAGATGGTCCATCAAGGTTCCTGTTTTACATTATGCCTTGCTGTAAACGTCTCACTAGATCTTAACTTAGAGAAAGGGAAGTCCAAAACTTGCAACTAGTTTAAGAAACCAGCAGCAGCAATAAAATTAGTAAAAAAAAAAAACAAACCCCAACAGCAACACT